AGCTTTAACAGATCATCTATCTCCCTGTCTGAAATCATAATTTTATGTATTTAATTATTCTGACTTGTGTTAACATATCATTCCTCTTCCAACATTTATATTGTAAGAAACTTGGCACTAAGGACTTCCCTTCCCAAGATTGCTTTCAACTCTTGTTTGTGTTTAAGTGGGCTCTTTACTTCCAACTACTCAATGGTGGAAAGCTGTTAAGTCTCATGAATCAGTACAGTGGACATCTCTGGACCTAAATTTTATTTCTAGCATTACCTTTGACACATTGCTGGGAATCCTCCCAGCGGTGAGGAAAAAAAAGTCTTTTTTTTTTTTTTTTTCAAGAAAAGACCAGTCTAGTGGCATGTGCATCTCTACCAAAGATATGTAAAGCATGGTTTCCCCAGTATAACTTAGAGATGTACCTTAGGTGATGGGAAGCCCTTTATGTTCAGAGAGAGAGAGAAAGAAAAGAAGAGAGAGAGAGAGAGAGAGAGAGAGAGAGAGAGAGAGAGAGAGAGAGAGAGAGACACTAACAGGGCTTAAGTGCTAAAATAAAATTTTGTGAAAACTTTAACCTATGACTGTTCGAAAGTCATGTATATTATTGGGTTCAAATATTGAATACCAGTATCATCAGGGTAATTCATTATTTGATATGCCAGCCAATGTTAGAAAGCTACATTCAAAGAAAGATTTTTTTTTAAACTCTTACTATGCGCTAATCACTACACTACACTACTTTTATATTATTTCATATCAATTGAAGCTGATCAATCATCCAAGCTCTAACTCCTAGTTAGATGGTAGTACCATATAAAGTGTGTGTGTACGCAAAGTTTTATAGCAGCCCACCAGGTACCAGACTAGTACCCTGAGCCTGATATCATTTCAATTGCCTATTAAAAATGAATATGGCTCTGGCTGGTTTGGTTCAGTGGTAGAGCATCGGCCTGGGAACTGAAGGGTCCTGGGTTCAATTTCAGTCCAGGGCACATGCCCGGGTTGTGGGCTCGATCTGTGCAGGAGGCAGCCAATCAATGATTCTCTCATCACTGATGTTTCTATCTTTCTCTTTCTCTTTCCCTCTCCCTCTCTAAAATCAATAAAAATATATTTTTAAAAAGGAATATGATTACATATGGTTATGCAATTATAAAATATATGGTATAAAACTTGCAAATGTTAATTCTATTTCCCTCTTTCCTCTACAAAGATGTGTATCTTATAAGTATACGTGATCTGAGGGTAAAAACAGATGATCTGCCCTCATGTCTCACTATTCCTCAATGTCCTTGACGCTGTCTTGTACAAAGAGACTATGAATAATTTAGTTTTAATTTATCTGTTTGTCTCACTTATGCCTGATTGGAGCAATTGAAAAAAAATACATTCATAAATCTTCTTGCCAAGATAATTAATTATGCACAAAATACTCCAAGCTGCTTCTGATTTTCATTAATGAAACAGCAGATTATATGCAAAATAAGATGCTGCTGGAATTGGAAAAAATGGTCAGCTGCACATTTTTCAAAGTAAAACAAGTGCACATTTTTTACATCTGAAAAACAATGATACAAAAAGAACATTCGATGATGATATTTATCAGACTATCATATTTCAATTAAGATAGAAAAAAATCTGTGATTTTCATTTGTTTGTTTTTTCCTTTGATTGATGTAAATCTTAAATTGTCATTGTTCTGGTCATTCAATTTTCTCTCAAAAAGTTAAATTAGCTAGACTATTATAATTCAAAATCATTAGGCCATAATAATTTAGACACAGAGTAGCGCTAAATGTGTCTTTTAAATGGCCCTTATGAGAGGCAATATATCAGACATTCAGACAACCACGTTATTACTCATCAGTCATCTTTGCTCTAATTCTCTACTTCTTTTTCTTAAGTGGTTCAAATGATTGACAAAATGAGTACTTCATTCATGTAAAGTTTGACAGCTCCTGAGTTCCCTTAAAATAAGTAAAGAACCAACAAAAAATATTTGCCCTCCAATGAAGTATGTGCCTTCGCATCAACTCAGGCTTCACAATGTTCTATCAGGTAGATCATCCAGGAACATGATTATCATAGAACCCAATTTGATGAACCTGCTGCTATTCTTCATCATTGCATCATCAATTAAACTTCAGAATAGATCATTCAGAGAAACTAAAAATTAGGTAAGATAATTATGCTTGTATCTACCTGGATTTTAAATTATTTCTTTATTCAGCCCAAACTGGTTTGGCTCAGTGGATAGAACATCAGCCTGCAGACTGAAAGGTCCCGGGTTCGATTCCGGTCAAGGGCATGTACCTTGGTTGCGGGCACATCCCCAGTAGGGGGTGTGCAAGAGGCAGCTGGTTGATGATTCTCTCTCATGGATGTTTCTAACTCTCTATCCCTCTCTCTTCCTCTCTGTAAAAAATCAATAAAAATATATTTTAAAAAAATTATTTCTTTATTCACATAATTATAACACTGTAAACACTAATTAAGAAACTAAAGAGACTCTACTTCCTCACCAATAAGACATTTTTAAAATTATGCTAATTCAAGCAGTGAAATATTATACCTATTAAAATTACCTATTGTACTTTTGACACAAGAATATGTCTATGATTTTTTCAATTTAATAAAAATAGGTAATAATACAGTATACTTAGGTTAATTCCATTAGTATTTGCTTGCTTATTTATCCATTTCTTTAATGAATATGTGTATGTATGTTCCTATGACAGTGCTCATCTTATATAATAAAACCCTGATATGCAAATCAACCTAACAGCGGAATGATCAGTCACTATGACGCACACTGACCACTGGGGGCAGATGCTCAGTGCAGGAGCTGCTCCCTGGTGGTCAGTGCATTCCCATAGCAGGAGCACCACTCAGCCAGAAGCCAGGCTCACAGATGGGGAAAGCAGCAGTGGTGCAGGGGCCTCTCCCACCTTCGCAGCAGCACTAAGGACCTCTCTGGGGTCCCAGACTGTGAGAGGGCACTGACATTCATGCACTGGGAGAAAAAGAGGGTTCCCCCAGTGCATGAATGTCAGTGCTGTATAAAGGTCTAAAAGGTGACAGAATATCAAATGCTCATAGCAATTATCTATATGGAAGTGATCTCACCTACATTTTAAACAAATGGGCATTAAGTCACAAGCAGAAAAAAAATACATATTCTGTTTTGAACTATTCATTGAGTACCCATTGAACAAGAATGGCTAAGATTATAAAAGTGACTTCTATTTGATCCATCAAACTCAAAATAAATAATAAATAACCCTTCAAGGCAAAACCAGTCTTGACCAGCTTGGTGGTAGATGGAGGTACAAGGGAGGGGGGGAGAGTATTATGTGTTGGGCTTTCACTGTCCTTTCTAGATATGGTGACCTAAATAACTAATTATAATATAGCAGTTCTTATGAGCCAAGTAACATTCTAACTACTTAAGGGGGAATAACTCACTTGATAATCTTAACAACACTTTGAGGAAAATACTGCTATATCTACCTTTTACAGAAAACTGAGCCTCTGGGAACTCAAATAACTGCTCAGGTACTCATCTGATAAGTGACAGAACCAGGACTTGAACCCAGCCAATAGTCTGGCCCCAGAATCTGTGCTCTTACCAGTCCACAGAGACGACAGTCACCTTTACTGATGACTCCAACTGTTGTCACTGTGTTAGCAAGAGAAAAATGTAACATGGAGCATTTTAAGATTAAGAATCTAAAATTTATATTTAAAGAAATGATTTATTTATTGACCAATTTTATTAAAATTTAATATTTATCTTTATCATTATAGTTGAATTGTTTTTGACTCAAGATTGTTAGGAATGGAGTTCAAATGAAAGCCTATTTCTTTTAACCACAAGTTCATTCTGAAAGCCTTAATATTCCTATAGCAGCCTCTGACAATAAGACAATAGGAAGAAGTCTTGGCCCAGGCGAGGAAGGACAAGAAAACTTGTCCTGAGGCTATTGTATTTCTCACTTAGTTTTTACACAAATGAATTAAAAACTTACATCCAGACAAAATCTACACATGGATGCTTATAGAAGTTTTATCCATAATTGCCAAAACTTGAAAGCTACCAAAATATCTTTCAGTAGGTGACAGGATAAATAAACTATGGCACATCCATACAGTGGGATAGTATTCAGTGCTAAAAAGAAATGAGCAATCAAGCCATGTAAAAAGCATGAAGGAATCTTAAATGCATATTTCTAAGCAAATAACCCAATCTGAAAATACTATACATTAGATTATTTCAATTATATGACATTCTAGAAAGCACAAAACTATGGAGTTAGTAAAATGATCAGTAGTTGCCAAGGATTAGGGGGAGAGAGGATGACTAGGCAAAGCACAGAGGATTCTTAGGACAGTGAGATTATTTTTCATATTACAATGGTAGATATATGTCATTACACACTTTCTCAAATCCATAGAATGTACAAAGATGAGCAAAAGTAGGATTATAGTTGTTCATATGGAATCTAATATAGTAATTAATAAATAATACTACAAGAATTAACACCATGTTTCACATACTCACAACTATAAACCTACTTTTTCCCACCAAGAGTGGACCCTAATGTGAACTTTGGGCTTTGGGTGTTAATTGAGCATCGGACTACGGACTGAAGGGTCCCAGGTTCGATTCTAGTCAAGGGCATGCACCTTGGTTGCGGGCGCATCCCCAGTGGGGGGTGTGCAGGAGGCAGCTGTTCAATGTTTCTCTCCCATCAATGTTTCTAATTCTCTATCCCTCTCCCTACCTCTCTGTAAAACATCAATAAAATTAAAAAAGATATTTGTTATTATATTACCAGTAAATAACAGTATTATTCACTGTTTGGAAAAAGTAACAGAGTAATTTGGACCAAAGATCAAATAATTTAACCATGACAACTGAGAAACTGTCCTAGGAATAGCTAGTTCCCGTAACAACCAGACTTCATTAGCTGAGGGAAGACGTCATCAGTGCCCCTTTGGGTTACCTGGTTTTCTTGTTGGTCCCACTGACATATCTGCAGAACCTGACTCAATTCCTGCCGCTGTTGCTTCAGGTACTTGTCTAGTTGCCGCCTCCTGTCTTGTAGAAGTTCCAGAAGACTGTCAATCTTCAGGCAGCTATTCCGAGCTCCCTGAATCAACTCAGGATTTACATTAGGTCCCTCACACTTGAATTTTTCGATGAAGTCAGTGAGTTGTTGGCTTTTGTTTAAAAGCACTAGAGACCGTTCTAAGAGTTCTAGAAGAAAGTTAGAAAGAAAACAGAAGAGTGACATGAGCAAGCTTTTAGATAGTAATATTTTTGACTCTTCATATAATTTAAAATATATATAGCCTTCATACTAAAATAAAGAATTCAAATGTGCAAACATAAAATGCCTACCACATAACCGGTCAAATACCTTGGTCTGACGGTTACTTTAGCACTACCTGCCAAATGATAGGATGCTGGTGTTTAGGGGTAACATAATTCAAAAGGGGGTGTGGGGGTACAAAGACTGGAATTTGAACACCAGTTCAAGTGATTGTCATTAGTTTGATGCTGGTTAAGGTATCTATGTTCCTTGAAGTGTTCTATGTTCTGTGGTGATAGACTAAAGCTGAGGGTTAAAGGCTAATGCTTTTAGTGGCCAAAAACTCAATGAATGTGATGACCAGAGGTTCAGATGCCAAGGTCTATGGCAAGATGGGATCAGTCTAACAGGATCAGCTGTCACCAGTTCTGGCCAACTGTTGACAGGAAAGAATATGGGTTTATTGTTTATGGAGCCTCATTTTAAAAAGAATTATATATATATATATAAAAGGTCCTGATTTTAAATGTTTACAATTTACATTTTTATTGAAAAATACTGAAAGTTAAACAAAATATGTTTCTCTACCAAATGTGCCACCAGTGTGTCCTCTGGAGTGAGTAGGATTGTGGTTTGGGTAACATCTTGTAGAAATGGGAGTTTTAGCATAAAACCAAAGGATGACCAAGGGAGAGAGGGTAAAAGAAGTTGAGAACAGCAGTATAGAGCAATCATACTTGAGGATTAATTAGAGGAGCAGTTGGGCATCTGTCTACTTTCCACGAGCCAGAAACCAAGGAAACATCCATGACACATCCTCCTCCCTAATCTCACTATTATCAAGAACTATCAATATCACCCTCTATCTCCTGCATCTACTTTTCTCCAGCCCCACTACAAAAACCACCATCTGTTGCCTAAACTTGGCCAGTTGCCTCTCAATTAAATCTCCTCTCTAATATATTCATTCATTCTCTATATATTATCCAGACAGGTATTTTATAAACACACTATGTCACACACACACACAAACACACACACACACACACACACACACACACACACACACACACCCACCCTTAAAACAATGGTTTCACATTTCCTTAGAATTAAGGACAGACCCCTTATCATGATTTCAGGTCTGGCATGGTCTAGCCTCTCTCTTCTTCTCCAGATTGTCTCCAACTCTCTACCCTAAATCCCTATTTTTTTTTTAAATACCTCACACATGCTATCCTCCCTCCTGTACCAGAACTTTTCACTGGGCCCTCTGCCAGGAACACCTTTCCCCTCAACTCTTGTTTCTTGTTTCTAGAACTCTTCATTCTATTCATATTTAGATCTTAGTCAAATGTCAGTTCTTCAAAGTACAAATAAGACTGAACCAAATACTCCTACTAAGTGCTCTCATCCGCACAATATTCCTGTCACTGGCAGCTCTTATTATGGCTATAGTTTTAAATTTGTGTGTTAAGTTAGTTGTCTGTCTTTGCCATTAGGCTCCAATGCAATATGAGGACAGGGACCATGACTGTATCACCAGCACTTAGTACAGTGACTGACGTAGGAAAGATGTTCAACTTATGTAGAATGCTTGAATGAAATCACATATATCAAAAGATGGGGAAGAATTGGGAGAATTGTAGATGATGAAGATCAGCAGTCCTCCAGGGATGTAAAAGAGAGACATTTGAAAGATCTGGGGTTCTATGATGGGTGAGTGATAGAAACAGAAGCCATTGCCAGGTTGAGACGTAGGAAGGTAGTGTTGAAGTGAAGTCAACTTTGAGATATTTCTTCTTAGAAGAAAAATAAAGACAGAATATCAGCTTTTTATTTTTAGGAAGAAAACTGAAGAGCATCCAGAGGGTGAGTATATTACCAAACATCTCACTACAAAAGATGGATTAAACCATATCCACTATACTTCAGCATTCTAGCATTCAGCAGTAAACACACAGCAATAATCAAGCTATGATAGATAGGCTGGTTGTCTCTTTTCAATGATGACTGGAGAGCTGGAAGAGAGTGTGAGATAACTAAAGATATTGTAAAAATCCACCTTGACATGAAAAGGAAAGAATTTGAATTGTTTATACGATGCAACCTAAATCTGTCTAATAAGGTAATAAATAGTATTATCTACTCAGAGTGAGAAAAGTGTGGTTATGTGCAGTGGGCAATTCGATTGGGAGTCAATAATGCAAGAAAAAAAAAAAAAAAAACAACCACAGGCTTGAACCAGGATAGAGGTTATAATTCAAATAGAATAGAAAAAATCAGAGAGAACATTAAAATTAAAGTAAATCACAAGGAAATAGAAGTGGGTGTGACCAAGACAAGAGGAACAGGAGCTAGTAAAATCCTATCTCTCTCTTTCTCTCTCTCTCATGGCCCACAGTTCCTTTCAAGGTGCATGAATTAATACACTGGGCCTCTAACCTGCCAGAACAGGTTCTTCTGTGAAAGGAAAAGAAACATTGCAGAAACAAGATGAAGACAGGTTACAGAGGCTGTGCCCATTGAACAGAGGGGTTTTAATTTGTTTAACCTGAACATAATAACCAGTATAATTAATTATAATGCAATATATATTACACACAAACACACACACACACACAAAGCATGGGCAGATGGCAGGGTTTCCATAGGGTATTTCTTTTCTTTATTTCCATAACTAGCTCTTATACACTAGACTTTTCAAATGAGAAAGGAAAGCAGGACTGTAGGTGCTTGCAAACTGAGAGTGGAATAAGCCAATCTGCTCTGGTCCCTACAAAACAAATATAATTAGCCAAAATTTCCATTTGCAATCTTTTTCTGGTTTCTGTTTCAGCTCCTGTCAAAATAGTGTAACCACTACCATAGTATCACTGGGAATACAGCCTCCTGGGCCCAAATTAACTTGTAAAATGTACCCAGGCTAAAACCGGACTGTTACTGCTACCAAGATGATCATTAAAATGGGTAAATTGTTCCCTCTGTCAGTTCCTTCAGTTCTTCCTCTGTCAGTTTCTGACATTTTACTTTTATACTGTTTGTTTTTCTGGCTATTTATTCCTTCAGTTGATCATACAAAGGGCTGCATTTTTTCTCAGGCTACACTTTCTAGATATACCATGACCTTCAGGGAATACAAAATCTCTATAGTGCATTTATTTTAAATATTGTATTTTTTTGCATTTACAAAATCTTATTTTCTGACATAATACCTTGTAATGTGAGGCTATTAGATACTTAATAAATTTCAATTGTTTGTTTTGATTGTCATACTAAAAAAGTAATGTTAAAGTATATTTGCCATAATTATTAAGTATAAATAGCAAATTCAAGATAGAAAAAGTGGAATGTACACAAGTTAAGTGAATTTTAGCTTTATACTCATCTTTCTAAATGAGTATTTTCTATAAGTAACAAGGTCACAGTCTTAGCATTGAGATCATGGGTGATGTTTCTTCCTAATACCTTTTTTAATATTCCAAATATTCCTCTGTGACGTGGTGTTTCTTAAACTCATCCAATGAGCATTTTCAAATATATACAAAAATAGAGAAGCCCCTGTCCTCAGGAACCACATCCAAAAGACTGAGAACTCCAAGGATTAGCAGGATCTTTCAAAGGCTGGCCCTCTACCACCTCCTTAGAACCATTTACAATTACTTCTTTCTTGCAGATGATGGCCAAGAGAACAGCTTCCTTTAACCTTTCTTGGAATAAGCTGAAGTATACATATACAGATAAATTAAAAATATATTGTCCTGTCCAGCCAATGTTGCTCAGTGGTTGAGTATCAACCTATGAACCAGGTAGTCACGATTCCATTCCCAGTCAGGACACATGCCTGGGTTGCAGGCTCAATCCCCTATAGGGAGTGTGCAGGAGGCAGCCAATCAATTATTCTCTTTCAACATTGATGTTTCTAATCTTTCTTTTCCTCTCCATTCCTTTCTGAAATCAATAAAAATATATTTAAGTAAATATATACTAGAGGCCACATGCATGAAAATTCATGCGCTGGAAGGGGTGTCCCTCAGCCTGGCTGCCCCCTCTCACAGTCTAGGAGCCCTCAGGGGCAGGAGGCGACCTGGCGACCAGGGGAAGGCGATGTCCCATCACACCTCTGCTGCTGCCACTGCTGGCTGCACAAGCCTCAGTCGGCCCTGGTTACCTGCACCTCAGGCTGGCCCTGGGCATCTGGGGGGCTGAAGGGATTGGGGGACTTCGGAGGCAGGTGCGCAGGACAAGCCAGCCATGCCACATCTGCTGCCCCAGTAGGGCTGAGGAACTGGGTGCCATCATCTTCTAGCTGTGGGTGCCACCATATTTGAGGAGTGGCAGTCAATTAGCATATTCCCTCCTTATTGGCTGTGTGTGCCACCATCTTTAAGGGTGGGGAGTCAATTAGCATATTCCCTCTTTATTGGCTGTGGGCACTGCCATCTTTGTCATGGAATGAAGGTCAATTAGCATATTCCCTCTTTATTAGATGGGACTAGAGACCCAGTGTATGAAATTCATGCACTGGGGGGCGTGGGGGAATCCCTCATCCAGACCTGTGTCCTCTTGCAGTCTTGGAGCCCTCAAGGGAGTGGGCCTAAGCTGTCAGTTAGACATCCTTAGTGCTGCCACGAAGGCTGGGGAAGTTCCTGCCACTGCTGCTATACTCGCCAAACATGAGCCTGGCTTCTGGCTGATTGGTGCTCCCCCTGTGGGAGTACACTGACCACCCAGGGGCAGCCGCTGTGTTGAGTGTCTGACCCCTGGTGGTCAGTGCATCTCATAGTGACTGGTTGTTCTGCCGTTCAGTCGATTTGCATATTGGTCTATTAATATATAGGATATATATACTCTCCTACATGAGCATTCTCACATTAACATCTCTATTTTTAAAGCTCATGGGAGGAACAAACATATTTCTTGCCTTTGGTGTGATGTTCATGAAGCTGAAGAAGTGACCTTAAGGACTCGGCAGTCTCGAACTCCTGAGTGTTCTGGAGGAACTCTTCAGCTTGATCTATTTTAATAGCAAACTGCAATAGAAACACAGGGGAAAGACATTTGAAAAGCCAAAATTCAATATGCTACTTTAATTATATGAATTAATGCCTGGATGACTCTGTATGTGCTTGTGTGTTTGTGTGTTTGTAGAGCATGTGCTGGCTTAGGTGCTTGTGTGAGGGTATGCATTTACATGTAGTCAACTTACAAAATACCAAGGCAAGAACTATCTTCTCATTCTTTTGCATTCCTTTCATACCTGGAAATATGTCATGTATGCTGAAATAAGCCAATTTGTTTACTATTCAGATGTATGTTAAAATTTTCAACTAAAGTTTTGTGTCCTATGTCATGAATATAGCCACTTTTAATATTATAAGACATGAATTACCACAAAGTTTGCTAGGAGAAACCAACAGACGTTTGACTAACCAGTGGTGACATAATTATAAGTAAATTTAACTTCAGAAATTATTTAGAGGGAAGGTTGAAAAACAGTTTTTCCCCTTTATAATTAGATCTAGAACTGAAAAAAGCAAGTTTCAAAATAATACATAGTTTAATCTTTTTTCTAAAGTTGATCTCAGCCAAAAGGCCAAGAAGCAATGTCTAACCCTGTTTTATACAAAGCCAAAGAATATATATACCAAAAGGTTACATTTATGAGAAGAAATGGGATTTGATATGGGTTAAGAAACGTAAAAGTTTACATCTATAATTTGTATTTTTGTTTGCATTTGTATAAATAATTTTATGCATAATTTATATAATAAAATAAGATTTGATGCAGCAATAATGAAAATTTTCTCCTCCGTTTCAAAAAATAAAGAATAGCAATTTGACACTTTAAATAGTGAGGAATATGACTGATCTCTTCTTCTATGTTTCTCCATGGAAGAAATAGAAAGGGCAGATGCTTGAAGTAATGTTAAAATCCTCAGGAGAGTTAGGGAGATGTGGGGGAGATAAGAGATCAATGGAAGGACTTGTATGCATGTATATGGGCATAACCAATGCACGCAAAACTGGGGGGTGAGGGCAGGTATGGGAGTGGAGGGGCAATGGTAAGATATTTACACATATAATACCTTAATACAAAATGAAAAAAAAATCCTCAGGAGACTCATCTTAGAAGCAAGCTTTAGAAAAGGGCAAAACATCCTTGGTTATGCTGTTATAGTATTTCATAGAGGCAGACAAAGAGCTAGTTTAACACTAAGATTCAAAGGTAATTATTATACTTTATTAGAGCATTTAATCAACATGTTCATCTGTGGGTCAAGTGTAGGAATAAACTCATTAAGGCAAAGTATCATGTTGAAAGACAAAAGCCTATCACAGTGCTGATCTTCCTTTTCAAAATTTTTCCAAACTGTCATTTTAAATTTAGTGATATTCAATATTTTTATACAACTATTTGATTAACAAGATTTGTGTTATGCCTTAACTGGTTTGGCTCTGTGGATAGAGTGCCAGCCTGTGAACTGAAGGGTCCCAGGTTCGATTGGGGTCAAGGGCATGTACCTGGGTTGCAGGCACATCTCCAGTGGGAGGTGTGCAGTAGGCAGCTGATCGATGTTTCTCTCTCATCTATGTTTCTAATTCTCTATCTCTCTCCTTTCCTCTCTGTAAAAAATCAATAAAATATGTTTAATTAAAAAAATTTGTGTTATGCCTGGCCAGCGTGGCTCAGTGGTTGAGCATTGACCCATGTACCCAGGAAGTCCCGGTTTGATTCTTGATCAGGGCATATGCCTAGGTTGCAAGCAAGATTCCTAGTGTGGGGCATGCAATCATGCTCTCTCATCATTGATGTTTCTATCTTCCTCTCCCTCTCCCTTCCTCTCTGAAATCAATAAAAATGTATTTTTTTTAAATCTGTGTTATGATCATTATGATAACCACATAAGACCCAATTATAAATGGCATGGAATGATGAGAGAGTAATGAGCATGTCTCCTTTGGAAATACAGGGAAGGCCTCCGCCACCCTGTCGGAACCCGATGGACACCTGCCATTGTCACTGAGGGACAATGTTTCTAAATTGAAGAAAACCTTTCTGATGGTTAAGTCTAGAAGCCAGAAGTGTCCTTTGATGATTATCAACCATGCAATAAGAAATCATTTGTAGTCTAAAGAACTCTTTAATGCACGTAGTTCAATAAGGGAATCCCACCAGCATATCATTTACATCTTTAATGCATTTTATTTCTAATAACTGATTTTAAAGGCATTCTTTGAGCAGAAACTTCAATTCAAAGAAAAATTAAAAAATGAAAACCTTATAGGTAATTTGTTGTTCTTTTTTCCCTGTAGAACATTACAAAAAGTTTTATGGGATCACTATATGTTAAATTTTAAAAATAAACAATTTTCTCAAAAAAAACTTATCTAAAATACTATTATGTGTTATCTTATGGATATTTTATTTTCTTCCCTTTTCTCCTTTCTGTGGCTTGTACAGAATAGAAATGGTGATGGGGGGAGTTTTCTGAACACTCTATTCTTAATGTCAATCTATTTTAAATCACTAATGAAAATTGCCTTGGCATTCACAAGGAGCAGGGAAGATGATGTAGGAGTTTGCCTTAAGCTAAGTATGAAGTTGTCCACAAAATTGGAAGCAAAAATTGTAAGAAATAATTAGCCATTTCACTAGGAATCAGAGTTTCTGGTTGAATTACATTACTAATCAACTTAGTACTTCTTTTTATTTTATGTAGTACATAAGAGTCATTTCTCATCATAGAGAGAATCAGGAAGCATAAGTGCTACTACAAAGTGAGAAATAAATATTTAGCCTAGTATTCTAAAAAAAAATAACTTCTGTGCTCAAATGAGCTGAATATAAAGGGCAGTTGATACCGTTACCCCACTTACTTGGAATAAATCAAATGTATCTATAATTTGACCTCTGTGAGTATATTTCATCTGGTTATTTATTTTCAGAAAAGAAAACTGTGCATAGGACTTTTCCCCAAGATGATCTGTAAAATTAACTGTGAGTTGGGCTTCTGAGTGCAAATTGTGGAAAACAAACTTTGAGAGTTAGAAGTTTTTTGTTCCTTCTTTTAACTTTTAATGGAGTTCGTGCTGCATGAGATTGTCTACCCCATTTTTTATGTTCTATTACTAATCTTCTCCTCTTCGTTATTTTGAATTTAAGCCCTGAATTTTTAGTTTGGAAATGTCATATTTTTCAAAGCTCATACTTTATCATAATGAAGCAGAGCTCTCACATCAAAATGAATGTACTGCCACTTGACCGAAAAGTTAAAAGTGAAATTAGCAATAACTGTCTCATACCAAACATAACATGTCTTTTGATGTTGTTCTTTGAGCCTCACATTTTGAAATTAGGAATCTCAAAAAAAAAACAAAAAAAAAAAAAACCCTGCAGAATATAAGAAAAAAATCTTAGAGGGAAATGACCTTCTTAGGCCCAGGACTTTTTTCTTCCCTTACGTTTTAATGAGTTTAAGCTATAGGAACTCAAAGATATGCCTTTAAAAAGTACTTTATGAAATGCTATGCTTACAAGTCAGACCTGTAGACTATTCTGCAATTCCCTTTGCATAAGCATCAGAACTTTTAATCAACAACTTTTAGTCAATAAGAACACTTTCTACCACCATTTCCTATTAATCCTATAATCAGGGGAAATTGTTTGATTTAGTAATTATGTTAATGTTTTCTATACAGGGAAATATAATTACTTATAAGTAAGAGTTCCCATTTTCACTTAATATTTTACTAAATTTTAATGAACTATACTTAGTTTTTAAACATTTGAAGGCCACATTTAAAAATTAATATTTGTCTTCTGAAAACAAAAAATTAAATGTTATATACATTAAATATATACATTAAATATAAATTAAATGTTATTAAATGTTATATACATATATATATATTTTTTTAATACCTTGGTTATTATGCCATTTTTTGCAATGTCTATTTGCAGAAATAAGCTATTTTCAGGAGTGCTATTCATTTGCTCTGTTGTAGAGAAGGAAGACTTTTTAAAAAGAATACAAACCTCCAAGGCATTTTCAAAGAACTCAGAGGTCAACCTGAGGAGCGCCCTTCTTCTTTCAAGCATGGAGACCAGGGCTGCCCATGCTTCGCCAAGGCTGCTGGCCATGGCGTCATACACCTGACTCTGGTCCTTGTTCTCTTCAGCTGTCTTGTCTGCTTCCTGCAGGAGTTCCCACACCTGATCTTCCAGAGCCTGAGTCCAAGGAAAAAAACAAGATATAAGGCAGAGGGCCAGTCAATGTAAAAATACAGCATCACATTTTAAACACTTGGATATTTGAAACTGTATGTGGTCTAGGAAGGTCTAAAAGAAAATTTATACACTCCAATTCTATGCAGGCAGGCAGATCAAGCAGGCAGGATGGAGCAGTGGAGATTATGGTAAACCAGGGCGCATACAAGGCTGAAGGCATTCATTTCTTTTGTTCTAACATCAGCAATTTATCAAAGGTGCACCACATCTACATTCCCAGGAGCACAGAATATTGTGTTAATCTCACATTAAAAAAAAAAAAAGCTACCCAGTGGTTGAGCATCAACTCATAAACCAGAAGGTCACATGACAGTTTTAAACATGTTGGTGCTTAACAACAGAGCATTAAAATGTGTAAGTAAAAACTGACATAACTGTAAGGAGAAATAAACAAATTTATCATTATAATTAGAGACTTCAACATCTCTCCATCAATAACTGAAATATCCAGTAAGCAGAAAATTATTAAGGATATAGATATAAATAACATTCCCAGTCAACTGAGTATAACTGACATCTAGAGACTATTATGTCCAACAACAGAGAAACGTACATTCTTCTCCAGCTCACATGAAACATTTACTAAGATAGACTACCTGCTGGTTTTTACCTAGGCTTTTTCAAATGAATTTTACTTTTTTATTTATATCTTCCTATATGTTTTGGATTTTTATGAAAAGATATTATTTTTATCATTGGAGGCAATATTCAGAAAAACAAAAATAAAAACATGCCATTGCTATACTGAAATAGTGGACCCGAGTTATTTCCAATTGAAATTCTAGAACAGTCTTTATTTTCCTTCCTTATACTTTCAAATTATATCCTAAGACATAAAAACTTCAACTGTATTATTATTCCCAGCTATTTGCTGTTTCTTTCTGTAAAAGGATTATACTCTTATGCCTTCTAACATCAGACTTGTCCATGTGACTTGCTTAGACTAATGAAATGTAAAGAGTTTTGTGTGCTACTTCTGAGCAGAAGTTTTAAGAACCGATGAGGATCCTATTATGAAGATATGAAAAAGTGAATTTAATTAGCATGAAGCAAACATGTAATGTAAGAAATAAAATTGGTGACTATGAGCCACTGCTGTTGGGGGATTATTTGTTACCCTACGATTGCCAGGTAGATTGACAAATGTAAAATCATTTGTTAGACATTTATGTATGTGCTAAATACAGAAGGAAAATAATTCATACTGCAGCAAAACAAAGTATCTAGACCTGAGCCTGACAATTTCATTGCTTACTCAAAAAAGTCTCAGGCAGATTGTGTTGGACATGAAAATGAGTTCTTCAGAGACATCCACTGAATATGTGTCATCTCTGTTCCCTTTGGTTTTTAGGCTAAAACAAACGAATCATTGTCTAAATTGCCAAGAGAGATAGACCAAATGCACATACTTTCTGGGGGGTTTTAAATATATATTTTTATTGATTTCAGAGAGGGAGAGAGAGAGAGAAAAAGAGAGAGAGAGAGAGAGAGAGAGAGAGAGAGAGAGAGAGAGAGAGAGAGAAACAACAATGATGAGAGAGAATCATTGATTGGCTGCCTCCTGCACACCCCACTAGGGATCAAGCCCTCAACCTGGGCATGTGCCCTGACCAGGAATTGAACCGTGGCCTCCTTGTTCAACCACTGAGCTACACCAGCCACATGCATTTTCTTTCTAATACAGCTATTTGAGAGCATGATATTGAGGCATTTCCTTCCTCTGTGACAAGCTTTAGATTACCTTAAGGGCTGATTAATTTTATATTGTACATGTGTTTTATCTCATACTTTTTGTCGATGGAATAACTTAGCCTCATTTTCCACATATAATAGCCCAAGAATATGTAAGGAGAAGAAAAAGACTATATTAGGAGTCTAATTTTAAGATATGTCATTTGTATGACAAAGACTGTAGTAAGAAATAAAATTAGGAGAACTGGATAATTCCATGCTGGAGATGCAGAGGGAAATAAGAAATAATAGGCAATGAATTCATTCTAGAGCAAAAAGCAAGTAGACATTTAACCTTTTAGTGATTTTTTTTCAGATTTTACATGAAGGTGATAAAATAAATATGAAGTTGGCTATTTCCATGGCTAATAAGGTTGTTTCTGGAAATGTTTTTTACATGGAATTCTTTCAGCCCTCTTAAACACATATGACTTAGTTCTTCTTAATACTGTTCTTTTCCCACATAAGTGACACTTTATAAATTAGTGATGCAGAGGTTTTGGGGGCAAGCAGCTTGGAGGACTATAATACTGGCTTCCAATATTTCCCATGACCTCCAATATGAACTGCAAAATGTTCTATTCTCTGGAATTCCAAGGCCACAACATGATTGCAGAACCCTCTGGGTTTAGTTTGGTACAAGTTGCACTTTATTGGAGATTTTCTTCAAGAAAGCCAGCACACATTTTGGTTTAGGATTGGCAGAGAACAGCTCTAGCTTCTCTTAGAATTTACATTACGCTTGGGTGCTGGGACCAGAGTCCAAGTGCAGTTCAATGTTCCCGAGGGCCTATCAAACACCATCTGACATACTGGAGGAGAGAGGGATTCAAACAGAGTGAACTACGCACAGTTCATAGAGCAAGAATATTTTTCAGCCAATCTAAAATGTCAGCATAATGACCAATGGAAGTATATTTCTGTGAGATTCCTGAAATGGAGTATGATCTGAACCCAAAGCCAAAATATAACATCTGGGTGTTTGATATACAATACGTGGGTCTCTGTGATATGTTTTCAGCTTTGGTAAAGGTGTTTGGAAGGCTTTTAATTCTTTAAGTGTTCAATTTCCTATGGTGGTCTATGTATCATGTCACCCTAGTGGTCAGGCCTTCCCTTCTGAATCTAATGTCATACATATGCTGCCTGCACTGAAGAAATACTGTTCTATTTTATTGCCCATTGCTGAGATTCCAATGAGATTAGCTCTTTCTCCCCATCCCCACCACAAGTAACAGGATATCATCATTTAGACAGCCTGACACACATATGCAAGTCACGTACTAATAGGGAGGGCTAGAGGGCATAAGACTGCATGCACGCTCAAAATAATGAGTTCAAGTCTGTAAACAAAACACAAAAACATTAAGTTCTGTCTTGCTCAGATTTATGACTCCAACACATATCACTGGTTTTCAACAATAAAAGCCCTCAAACAAGTGTTTGAAAACATGTTGAGGCAGTTTTAGTTGTGACAATGTGTTTGTCTGGTTTGTGGGGGAGGGGTTGATGAAGAATTGTCCCACCAATCAGCAACCCTACTGAGAAACACGGACTGCACTGCACATAGTAGGAGCTCAATAAATGTTTGTGGTCAAACATATGGAAGAGGTCTAAGAAGTTTCTTTCCCTTTCTGTTGAAAACCATTTAGTTTTATTTCACAGGCTGTCAGAGGAGAGGTGAAAGGCCAGTTGTTTCCATCTGACATCCTCTTCAGGAAGCCTCTCTACCAAATCACAGCCAGCACCATCCTGGAGCAGCAGCCCTCCATTCCTTTTGGGACAAACCTTCCCATAGTTATTAGAAAAAGTTTTCTTGGACTGGACCAAAATTTACCTCCTCATTCTCCAGATTGCAACACACGCCAGCTTTCTAATTGTGAAACACTCCTGATGACACCTTACACGCCTTCTATCTCTCATCTTATTTAACAGTCCTGAAGAGTTCCTTCGAAAGTGCATGAGATTTACATACTATAAAAATTAAAAGCAGTGAGTTGGAGGGTATGATTTTAAACAGTTGAAGCGAGCCTGGCGCTTCACTCCCTCTCTTCCAATTGACTGTCTCAGCTGTGGTCAGCTATAGCTGGAGTACTGTCTAAAGGGAGGGAAGAAGCTCTTCCAGCATAAAGACTATAAGAAAATCATTAGGCCAAAAGATGAATTAGTATCTTTTTTTTAAATATATTTTTTATTGATTTTGTACAGAGAAGAAGGGACAGAGATAGAGAGTTAGAAACATCAATGAGAGAGAGTCATCGATCAGCTGCCTCTTGCACACCCCCTACTGGGGATGTGCCCACAACCAAGGTACATGCCCTTGACCAGAACCGAACCCGGGATCCTTCAGTCCCCAAGCCAACGCTCTATCCATTGAGCCAAACCAGTCTCAGCGGAAAAGATAAATTAGTATCTTAAAACAAATCTAAAAGAGGAGAAATCTCCTTTTGGCATTCTTATTTATCATTGCAGTCATCATATTTCAATACAAGTAGTATTTGTATGGTGCTTTACAATTAAAATTTTTATTATCACTAGATAATAAACATCCTCAATCAACAGGCATCTGTAGAAACTATTTCATTTAAATGGAAAGGGTGCTTTCTGTCCTCCATTGAAGCTAAAACCAAACTGTCATTTGTTCAAATACAATAATAATCTCAATGGCCCTGTTGGTTCAGAGAAGGTAACACCTGTGGAATCTGAAGTTATTCAAGAAGGTAGCCATTCATCCATGCTCTCCTTCATTCCACAAGAATTTATCAATCATCTCTTAAATGGTGCAAATTGTGTTAATAGATATAAAAAATTGAGAAAGGGTACATCTAGTTATGATTGTGTTGTTTTTCTTCTCTTTCTCAATACTCATTCACTTCTCATACCTGCATGGCTTCCATCCCCACCATCTCACTGAAATACATATTCTTGTATTTGTCACAATGACCTCATCTTTGTCAAGGCCAACAATCCTCATTTAATCACTTCTTTGTGATTAATACTGGTGTGTGCTCCTTAAATGTTTTCCCTTTCATTTGCTTTGAGCACACTCTGCTTTTCCTTCTGCCCTTTGGCTCTCTTTTACAGATATGCTTTCTCTGCCTATTTTTAAATGCCTCGGTGTTCCAAGAGACAATTAATTGTCTTTGCTCCTTTCTTCTCACTTAACAGGTGAATGTCAGGGGAGGGGCTGAGGAAACTATATCAAAACC